TCCTACGACGGTTGGAGAATGTTCTTTGACGGAGCGGCAAATTTCAAGGGAGTCGGCATTGGAGCCGTCTTGATATCGGAAACTAGCCAACATTATCTGGTATCTGCTAAACTCACGATTTCCCTGCACCAACAACATGGCAGAGTATGATAAGAGCCTAAAGACTAAACCTGTCAAATAATCCTAAATTCGCGCGTTTATAAGCCGTTCTTATTACAAGTAACTTAATCACATGATGGCATAAGAATAATTATACGCTGTCAGTGTAAAAAAATAAAATAAAAGAAAATAATAAGATAACAAACAGCTAGCCAGTACGTATTCATAATTGGAAAACCAAAAAAAAAAGAAAAAATTCCACCGATCAATATACAAACGTCCGATTTTTAGCCAAAAACACATAACAAAGGCTCATCCAACTTAATGCTGAAACAAAACAGCAAAAAGACAAAAAAAAAAATGTAAATATTTACAGAAAATCATCAAAATCTAAACTCTCTGGAATTTCAAACTTCATGAAATTACTGCAATAACTCTCTTTCTCTTCTTCTGTGCTAAAATTCTGACTATTCTGATTGCTGCTGTTGTTTAGGGACTGAAATGTTGAATTTTCAGATGCATCAGACGCAGAATAATTACTATAGTATTGCAAAGGTAGCATCATATTTTCTTGGAATATTTGGCCATTCATGGACTGATGTGAAGAAGAACATGAAACATTTGGGGTGAAATTTGGAATTTCAGGAACTTGGTGGTGGAGTTGATTATTATATTGGAACATAGAGGTCTGATTATTCGGAATATTTGGCCCAAGAGAGTTTTGAATTTGTTGTCCATTCAATAACTGGTTTTCTTGAATTTTTTGCAATAACAATTCTGGATTTTCAGTTTGGGATACTAAAAGGGTATTTGCAAGTTTTAATATTTCTGGATTTACAAGTGCTTGTAATCCAAGTAAACTGGAAAGGTTAAGCTGAGTTGAGTTGAAAAGCGATGATAAATCTAAGAAATCAAGACGAGGTCTGTGAGTTACTGGATCAATGCCCATTCTCAATAGTCTTTTTCTTATGTGTGTGTTCCAGTAATTTTTGATTTCGTTATCTGTTCTTCCTGGCAAACGAGCCGCTATAGCTGACCACCTAAAAACAAACATAGAGATAAACATATTAGCTTTAGTTTAGGATCACGAATGTTGAAAACATAATTAAGTGAATAACAATATGTTATCTCTAACATGTAAAAATTTTTTTAAATCAGGTGGCAACATAATTCAACATAATACTAGAACAAACACAGTCCTTGAGCCGAGAGTCTTCCGGAAACAACTTCTCTACCTTCACAAGGTAGAAGTAAGATCTACGTACATACTACCCTCCCCAGTCCCACTTGTGGAATACACTGGATATATTATTATTATTATTATTATTATTATTATTATTATTATTATTATTATTATTATTATTATTATTGCTGTTGTTGTTGTTGTACTAGAACAAATACAGGTAGTGGTTAAGTATTAACGTCACTTGGTCACGAAAAATAATCATGTCTGCATGTGAGAGTCGTGTTTAAAACATGATAATTAGGTAAATTAAAGTGTATTCTCTCTCTAGTTGATCATGAGCGTATTGAAAACATAATTAGGTAAATAAAAATTATGTACTCTCGTTGACACGTTAAACATTATTATAGATGAAAGTGGTAAAGATCTTTGAATAAATAAGGAGAAACTAATGAAGAAAAATTTAAAGAAAAAGTATAGTAATAGATATGATCGTACTTGTTCCCAAGAACACTGTGAAGTTGGATAATAGTTTCTTCTTCTTCAAACGAAAATCTTCCTCTCCTAATATCAGGTCTTAAATAATTCGTCCATCGAAGACGACAACTCTTGCCACACCTTTGTAGTCCTGCAAAAGAATTTGATTGAAATATTAGAACACTTATATATATATTTTTATTAAGGTTGGAGCCATAGAAGCAGCGTACATCACATCCTTGGGAAGCAGCCCTTCTCCGGACTCTACGTGAATGCATGCATGATATATATTTTGTGCAGCGGACTGCTCTTTTTGAGGAAAAGAGATGGAATTAAGAAAGAATGTTTATCTTCATGTCAAATAAATTAAAAGTGGATGAATTATTTACCAGCATTTTTGGGGAGATTTCGCCAGTTTCCAGGGCCATGAAGTTGAATATATTGAATGAGTTTTTGATCTTCCTCTGGAGTCCATGGACCTTTTTTCAGTCCATTTTTATCACAACATGGTGTTCTTCCCATAGCTCTTTATTTTGTTTTTAGGAATATTGATGTAGAAGATTGTAAAGGTTTGAAGAAAATAAAAATAGTTGTGGTAAGGAAGAGAAGATGGAGATTTTGGAAAACAAAAGTGAAGTTGTAGGTCCTTATGGAATATGAGCCTTATTTATAGAAGAAAAAAATATAAGAGAAATAAGTGCTTTAAGACAGATTGAAGTCAATAGTATTAATTTGTCAAGACCGAGGTGAAAGCAAATAAAGAATTTGTATGTGAAATGTTATTTAAGTTATTGTGTATAATGTTTTTACATTGTTGCTGTAGTTTAACCTATTATATTAGCTTAACTATTATTTTTATTAGATTATTACTTAATGTTTTCTTAGAGAAATTTACTTGTATTTATCTTAAAATTGACCAAATTTTGTAAATATTTTTTACGTATGTCACCAAGTTCATAGAATTTACACAATATCATATTAACAGAAAAATAATTATTACATGTAATTATTTATAATAAGTGAAATTAGTAACCTAAATAATAAATAATATGATATAATTAAATTTTTGCTCTGAATATATATATATATATATATATATATATATATATATATATATATATATATATTTATGTATAATTAAAATATAATCTATGTATATAATTAAAAAAAATAAAAAATGAACATGACCGTCTATTTGTATAAAGATCCCTATGTTAAATCCTTTGTCCATATCAAAAAGGAAATTTTCTTACAATTTTTCAACAGTAGAAGTTTTCGGATTTTATCTGAAAAAAGAAATGTGAAACTTTGGGAGAATTGTTTAGGGACAAGTGGTGGTTAACTAATGGTTTTGACCTTTGCACCAAAGTCTTCAAACAATGACTGATTAGTCGGTATGGTTGGTAGATTTCCCCTACCAATTATGAGGACAAGATTTCATGTTTATATTTGTGGAGTGTGCGCTTCTTTCTAACA